GCCGTCTCGGCGCCCTCGTGGGGGCCTGGTGGGGCGGCATTGGGTGTCTGAAATCCATCAAAAACCTTAGGACAATCAATGATTTTGGCGTCCCTTTGGGCCGTGTTGAAGCCTTGTGGGCCGTCCGGAGGCCATCTTGGGCGTGTTCGAACGATATGTCCTCGTTTCGGGGCCTATTGGGGGCCTCTTGCGGCCCTTTTCGTCTGTGTTGGGGCTTTCTTGGGCCGTCTGGGGGCGGCCCTGGGCTGTCTCGGCGCCCTCTTGGAAGCCTGTTTGGAAGATTTCTGGGTGTCCTGGACCGTCCTCCTTCAACGTCGGCGGCACTGGCCTAAGACTTCCTGGGAACATGATTTGTTGGGGTGTCGTTGGGCGCCTCTGGAGGCTTCGGGGCCTGACGCGTTTCCGAGCGTGGCGGCAGGTAGCGCTGCTTGGGACTCTCGTTTTGTTTTTATCCTGGCAAGTGTTTAGGGAACATGGTTTGGGGAGATGGCGGCAACCCGAGAATTATGTTCCCGGGAAGCTTTCGGGGAGCATGATTTGTTCGGCTCTCTTAGGAGGGGGTCCTCTGGGGGCTTACCGAGAGGCCCTTTTTGGCCTTGTCGGCAAGCCTACTGGAAACATGGTTGGGGCGGAGTGGGCGGAGGCCCAAGGAATCATGTTCCCGGAAAGCTCTGGGAAATACGATTTACCGAGGTTTCTTGGGGGCCCGCAGGGGGCTTCCCTGGGGGCCCCTTGGGGGCTTATTGGGGCTTGCGGGGGGCCTCTTGGAAATCTCACGGGGCTTCTTGGGAGCCTCTTGATGGCCTCCGGGGGCGTCCTAGGAGCCTCTCAGGCCGGAGACCTTGAAATGTCGCGCTCTTCGGGCCCTCTTGGGTCGCTCTTGGGGCTCTCTTGGGGCGCTCTCGAGGCCCTCTTGAATTATCTGGGGAGCCTCATGGGCCGTCTCTGGTCTTTCTTTGGAGCCTCTTCGGCCGTCTTGGAGCGATCGGAAGGGCCTCTGACGCCGTCCGGGACCGTGGGGAGGCGGAACATGCGAGAGCGCAAAAATGCGGTGCCCTTTGGAGGGGCCTCCGGAGGCGCTCTTGGGACGTTTTGGCGGCGTCGTCGGCCGTCCTGACGCCATCTTCGGAGTGTCTGGGGCCTCTTGGGGCTGTCTTGGTAATCTTCAGGGCCCTCTTGGCGCGTCGTGGCATGTTTGGGAGCGGGCCCGGGCAGTTCCTGGAGCCCTGGGGGCTGTTGAATGCTAGGTGTTGTCTTGGAGGCGGAGGCTGTTGAGTGCAGGGTGGCGTGTGCTACGCGGAAGGCGGGCGAGCGGCCAGGCGGGCGGCGGGCGGGCGGGCGGCGGGCGGGTCGGGATTTGAATGAATTCCTTAAGGGTGCTTGTTGAGTACAGGGTGTTGCCTTGAAGACGGGGGCTGTTGACTACAGGGTGTTGTCTTGGAGACTGGAGCTGTTGAGTACAGAGTGGTGCGACCTACGCGGACGGCGGGCGGGCGGCGGGTGCCCTAGGTGGTGGATCAAAGGCCTCATGGGTGTTGGTTTGGATCTCGTGGTTGACCTGTCGGGGACGTCGTGAAAGCAGTTTCGCAGCTTCTCGGTAGCCGTTTTGGGACAGTTGTGGGGCCTCCTCGGGGCTGTTTTGTGGCCTCTTGAGGCCTCGTTTGGGCCTCCTGGGTGCCTCTCGGGGGCCTCCTGGTGCCTCTTGGGGGCTCCTTGGGGCACTCTTCAAGCGGGAGGGTCGAATTTTGGAGTCGTGGTCCCCCTCTTGCGCGCATCTTGGGGCCGTCTTGGGGCTCTCTCTGGCTGTCTTGGGCGCCTCTGGGGCCGTCTGGGGGCCCTCTTGGGCCGTCTTGGGGCGCTCTTGGGGGCCTACTGGGCCGTCTTGGAACGTCGGGCAGCCGAGAAGGCGGAAGGCCAAAATCTCTCCCAAACCGTCGTAAAATTAACGATTTCGGCCTCTTGAAGCGCTCCGGAGAGGCGTCTTGAAGCGTCGTGGAGTGCCTTGGGGGAGCCTCTCGGGCCGTCTTGGGCCTATCTTGGGCGTCCAGGAGAATCTTTCGGCGACTCGGGGCCCGCTTGGGCCGTCTGGGGAGCCTCTGGAGGCGCTCCTGGACTATTTTGGACCTCCCCTGCCGCCCCGTCCTGCCATGGGGGGTCGGGGCACCTGATTGTGGCCCCCGGGCCTGGCCCCCCCACCATATATATATATATATATATATATATATATATATATATATATATATATATATATCTATCTATCTATCTATCTATCTATCTATCTATCTATCTATCTATCTATCTATCTATCTATCTATCTATCTATCTATCTATATATTTCGCCGCTACGAAAATTCAGCCAAAATTCAACGCCTCCCGGTAGGCGACGAAGCCTCAGTACAACGTTGGCAGTGGGCCCGTTAGGCCGCGGGGCCCCAGTACAATGCTCGGTTGAAGCATGTTTCGCTCCAGTCTCGGGCGGCACCGCCCTTTCGAAATCGAGCCCGCGGGTTTCGAAATCCAGTCGAGCTCGTTTTGGGGAGAGAGTCCTAGGCGAAAGCCACATTTCGAAATCGAGCCCGAGGGTTTCGAAATCCAGTCGAGCTCGTTTTGGGGGGGAAGTCCTAAGCGAAAGCTGCATTTTCGAGTCTTCGGGTCAGGGCTTTTAAAATTTTGAATGCCAAACGGTGTGGCCATTTCGAAACGGCGGTTTCGCTCGATACTTCTCGAAAACACGATTTCAAACGATTTCGAAACTTTCGGGTTCGATTTCGAAATGGCGCTCCTGCCTAGGACTTCCGCAAACATAGAATTCGAAACCTTTCTGCTTCGATTTCGAAATGGCGCTCCCGCGCAGGACTTCCTCAAACATAGAAGTCGAAACCTTTCTGCCTCGATTTCGAAATGGCGCTCCCGCACAGGACTTCCTGCGAAATGGTGTGATGCTGAGGCATTGTTTAGCTGAAAAACACAAAACGGGTCAAACCTTTCGTAGCGCCGATATATATACATATATATATATATATGTACATATGTATATATATATATATACATACATACATATATAGACAAACACAGATATTGAATATATACATATATATTACATATATATACATGCAGACATTCATACATACAACTATACATACATACATACAGCCATACATACATACATACATACATACACACATACAAACATTGCATACATACATAAATGCATACATACACACATCTACATACATACATACATACATACGTGCATGCATACATGCATACATGCATGCATTACATACATTACATACATTACATACATTACATACATACATACATACATACATACATACATACATACATACATACATACATACATGCATGCATGCATGCATGCATGCATGCATACATACATAGGTGTATATATATACACATACATTCCATTACATTACATTACATTACATTACATTACATTACATTACATACATACATTACACACATTACACACATTACATACATTACATACATACATTACATTACATTACATTACATTACATTACATTACATTACATACATACATTACATACATACATACATACATACATACATACATACATACACAAATACACACACATACATACATACATACATACATACATACATCATACATACATGCATACATGCATACATACATACATACATGCATACACACACATACCTACACACACGCATACACACATGCACACATGCACACGTACACACACATACATACATACATGCAAGCATACGTACGGTAGGTTCGTGTCGTGTCGACCCTGGCGTTGGTCCCTGATACCGCGGGGATCGTTCAACCTTGAACGATCGGCCGTTTCCAAAACGTCCGATCGTTGAACATCGACTGATTCTGGGTCGCCAGCGGCGTTCAACGTTGAACGCCGGCGGCGGGGTCGCCGACGGTCGGCACGACACAGACCTACCGTACGTACATACGTACATATATACATACATACGTCCACAGACATGCATGCATGCATGTATGCATCCATACATATACATACATACACATATACATGCACATATTCATAGACCTATACAGATACCTATACATATATACGCATACGCACATATACACATATATACATATATATATGTATATATATACACATACATCTCCATGTCCATATCCACCGCCCGCCGAGGTCGGCGAATATCGACTCCCCAGCTGGTGGTTATGAGAAATCCCCGCCTTGGAAACGCATACATGAATGAAAATACCGGCCCAACGGTCGAGTGGCAAGGTGGGCAACCGTTGATCTATCAGAAATCGGCTCCGAAAGGCTCCGAGGACCCCCTGATGCCCCATGAGGACCCCTGGCGGGCCGCTGAAAGCACCTGGACGGCACATGGAGACCCTTTGGAAGCTCTCCCCCAAGCTCTGGAGCCGCCTGGAGGCCTGTGAGAAGATCCCTGGACGCGTATCCAGGTCGCAGCGCGCAACCACGGGAAAGCTCCACGCTGCAAAACGCAGGTGAAGTCAACAGTGGCAAGACATGCGTCAACCACACACGTCTGGGCAGTGCTTCCACACCTTTGCATGCAAATGATCAGTAGTCAGTCTGGCTCAGAAAAATCCCGCAAGGCACGAAACGTCAGCCCGATACTAGAGGCGGCCTCCCAGATGAGGTCGGAGAAGATGGGGTCGGAGGATCGCGCCCCAACGCCGATCCATCGGCGATGGATCGGCGATGAATCGGTGATGCACTGGCGATGCATCGTCGACGTCGGCGATGCGTCGGCGACGTCGACGCGAAGCAAATCGGGCCCCACATCGAGTTGCATCGGCGATGCATCGGTGATGCGGCGTGATCCTCCGAACGCATCCACTCCGACCCCATCTAGGAAGCCTAAAAATACTGACAACAATACTTGTATCATATTGCATTCATCGTCCGGCCTGACTGTCTTGACTTGATCGGGTGGGTGCGACACAGGGCGCAACCCCGACGCCCGCGCTCCTGGCAGTGTCCGAGCCGCTGGCGGCGGCGAGGCAGACCCCCAGCACCAGCAGGCCCAGAGCGGGGCACGAGCCGCGCCAGCTGCTCACCACGTGCCTGGCTGGAAGTGACGAGGGCCGGGGGGACCAGAGAGAATCGGCAAAATCAGGCAAGGCAGAGTAGGAGCTCGACCTCAAGAAACCTTCTACAAGAGACCCGAGCACCATGAAACCCCAAGACGTCAATTGATTTCTGGTGTGGGAACGTCACGCTTTCCATCGCACAACCATCGGCACCCAGGGCACCCTGAAGGCAAGTAGGGTGTTGTTTGGCATGGATGTTCATTTCCGACTGGGTAGTGGACCTGCTGCGTAGCCAACCTCCTGGCCTACATGGAGGAACAAAACAACTGCACGAACATCACTCCTCGGAAGTCCAGGCGACTTTCTTGGATCGGGCGCTGAAGCGCCGCCAGAGGGTCCAACGCCGATCCAAACGACCGCGAGGATCTCAGAGAAATTATGTGTATGCAGTTGTTTTGCTCGTCGGCTACAACACATTGTGAGTGAATATCCTGGCAACGCAATGTTGTACGCGATGTGTTGAATATCAGATGTTGTCATTGAACACGCCAGCACATGATAGCGGGATTATATGTTACACGTAACAGTCATACTCTTGCGTCACACTCTGTTTACAATCATTACATGCCTCTGCGCCCCAGGAGGCATGAAATGATCATCCCTTCGGCGAAGCAAAGAGGAGACGCTCGGCGATCCGGATTCAAACAAGGGCCCAACAACGCAGAGTGATGGGGATACAAAGGAAATTCGTACCTCTTGGGGTTCCGTGCCCGCATGGGCCCTCTAGGGAACTCCTGGGGGCCTTGTCGTGGGCCGTCTTCGGGGCGGTTGAAACCCGACAGCCCGGCAAGGCGAGAACGCTAAAAACAGTCAGAACCCAACAAAAATCAATGCCTCGGGCCTCTTGCGGTTCTTTTGGGGGTGTCTTGGGGCTCTCATGGGTGACTGTCCATTCGACCTACCCCCTTCTGGGCACCCTACCGCCCCCCAGTCCACCATCCCTCAAACGCCCGCCCGAGCGCGGTGGCGGACCCGCGCGATAGCGCAGCTGGAGGGGTACCCTCGTTTGGGAGATACCTCACGTTCCGCGTGGTTGGGCCCTTCACCTTGGTGCTTGCGCCCTGAAATACTCGCCCTGGCGCCTGCCCCTTATATCTGCTCGTGGAATTCGCCCTGCTGCTGCGCACCTGGATATACATGGGCGGGCGAACCCAGCTAATCGATACCAGGCCTCCGATCAATCACAAGGAAGCGAACCACGTGACGCCCTCGGGGCGGTAGGGACAAAGGAAACAAACGCAACAACGAACACGCCGACCGTCCACATCAGTGTTCCTCCAAGACATTTCGCCGTGCTGTGCAATTGCCCCTGGGCGCCCAAACGCCGTCACGCCCCAAGTGAAAGACACGACCATGGCTCGGAGGCAAGGAAGGACAAAAGGCTCTTCCCCGCTGCTTCCACACACCCACCTCCCTTCCACACTATACACCGTCTTCTCCGGCCCCCCCTTTTCCGCACCCCTCCACCTCATTGTTCCCAGTTGTGTCCACACCCCCCGTCGCCGTCAGTACTCGTTGATGAAACATGGCCCAACGTGTGTAAGATCACCCGGGCGGAAGGAAACACCACAAGAAATTACCCAAACGCATATGACAATAATTCTTATCGTCGACCTTGTGAATGCCGAGGTTTTGTTCCTGTTTCCTCGTCAGCCTGGCCGTCTCCTATTTCCCTCAAGCGAAAACCCTCCTCTCGCCCCCAGTTTTGCCTCGGCCCCATTCCCCCATCCACCACCACCCCGCATCCTGTGGAAAGGCGAGCGAGCCGATTCTCCTCGGCGCCGTCGCCGCCGCTGCCACCACGCGCGTTTTTCAACGGCCGGGTCGCGGAGCCGTCGAAGCGAACCCGCGGGCCGTTGGGGCAACCCTGCGAACCGCTGGGGCGCGCGATCAGGCCATGGGGACGACCCCGCAGGCCTCGAGCTAGTCGCGGCCGCGCTCAAGCGGGAGACAGCGCGAAGCCGAAATTTGCCGCGAGCTGCTCCGTCAGCCTTTGAAGTGTCCCGCCTTTCGTCAAACTCCCTGACCGCCTTCCGCAAGGGCGCCGGCGGCTCGCGCTCTGAGAACTTTGGCGTGGGCGACTGGAAAGCCAGCATGTTCTGCATTCGCGTGGCGCCAGTGAACGTGACGCAGTGGTGCAGTCACCGCTGCCCATCCGACGTGCCCGCGCGACCGGCGTCCTTGTCCCTGGCGCAATCGACGGTGACGCCCTTGCGCAGCGCCGGACCCTGCAACACGGTGGATGTCAGGTCGGGCGCATGCCACGGTGAACCCCGAACGGCGCGCGATGTGCGGCCCCTGAACATGAGCGAATCCCTCGTCCGCGCCGTGGCCTCGCCGTCGTCGTCCGCCTTTTTCGGAAGCCTGCAGCAGCTCGGCGACTTCTTGTTAAAGCGGGAACTCCTCGAGACCGTGCACCTGCAACTTGGCGTCTTGCGGTAGGCAACGGGGGCGAAAGAGCTGGCCTGGTGCGCACCCATGCTCCTGGTCGTCGTCTGGATGAAACCCGGGGGACACGATGGTGGCCCTTTACTCCTGACCTGCTTCAATTTCTTCCTCATTTCTTTATTCACGGCCGTGACAAAACCCACATGCCGAAGTGTGCCGGCAAAACGCGAGGATGTCGCCCGTCTTGTGCATGTTTGGGACGTTCAGGAGGCGCCTGCCCGCGCAAGGATTGCCGAGGATCGTGTTGCACTCGTGTGGATCCTCCTCTTCCTCTTCCGCCTCATTTTCCTCGTGCGCGTCCCAGTGGATACGTGCCGAAACACGACCTAGAGAAAATACGCCTCTTCCTGCGGGCCCCATAGGGAAGGGCTCCCGCTCGAGATTCCTCCGCGATTCACTTATATATATAATATAATATAATATATATATATATATATATATATATACACACACGCACGCACGCACGCACGCACGCACACACACACACACACACACACACACACACACACACACACGCACGCACGCACACACACACACACACACGCGAGACTTCCGCTTGAGGTGTTCTCCATATTCAGGCCGGAGGAGCCAAGAAGCGACGACAGCTACAGGATTTAGACGGCCCGCTCGGATTTGAACAAGTGCGGGCCCCAATAGGGGATGGTTCCCGCCTGAGACCTCCTCGCGACTGCTCGGATTCGAACATGGAGGTGGGAACCCCATAGGGAAGGGCTCCCGTTTGAGACTTCCTCACGAATCGCTCACCGACGAGGCTCCCGCTCGAGACTTCCGATCCATACCTCCAGATCCCGAAGTGACGACAGTTACAGGTTTGAGGATGGCCGCCTCGAATTTAAAAGATTATCTGCGGGCCCAATAGGGAGGGAGGGAGGTAGTTCCGCCCGAGACTTCCTCGCAGTTCAATCACCGACGAGGCTTACGCACGAGGCTTCCTCCATATTCTGGCCTAGGGAGCCCAAAAGTGACGACTGTTACAGATTTGGGGACGACCCGCTGGGACTAATAGCATGATCTGCGGGCCCCATAGGGAGGGGGCCCCCGCCTGACTGCAATTCACTCACAGACGAGGCGCTCGCTCGAGACCTCCACGTTCAGGCCTGAGGAGCCCAGAAGTGACGACAATTACAAGTTTGAGGACGACTCGCTGAAGCCCCCTAGTGGGGCCATCAGGCTGCCAGGATTAGGTTTCAATACCCTGCACCAGTTGCAGTTTCCAGTCTCCCGTATCACAGTGCTGAGTTCTGCTTCCTATCAAAAACTGTTGAAGTCCGCGCGCGCAAGAGGGGGAGCCTCAAACCACCTGGTTACCACGCCCAAATCGCGGTGTCTGATTTCCTGCGGGGTCACGGGACACATGTGAGAGTCGCGCTCCCGACGCAATAATCCCTTGCTAATTACATTGTATTTGCGTCCCCAAGGCCACGATCCCATGCAAGTTGCACCACATTCACGTCCCCGAAGCCACGATCCCCAATAACATATACAATATTCGCGCCCCCGAGGCCACGATATCCCGGAAATTACGCTACATACGCGCCTCTGGGGCCACGATCCCTTGTAAATTACGCCACAATTGTGCCCCCGAGGCCACGAGCCCATGTAAATGATGCAATGTTCGCGTCCCCGAGACCAGTAACCATTGCAAATTGTTAAATTCTTGCGTCCCCGAGGCAACAACCCTGGTAATTTATGCAGTAGTCGCATCCCCGAGGCCATTAACCCTTGCAAAGTATGCAATTGTTGCGCCCCCGAGGCAACAAACCTCCTTAAATTACTCAAGGCTTGCGTCCCTGAGACAACATACCTTTGTGTAAATTACACCAGATTTGCGTCCCCGAAGCCAGAATCCTCTGTGTTCGCGTCCCCGAGGCCACAAACCCTCGCAACGTAATAAATTCCTGCGTCCCCGAGGCAACAATGAAATTTATGCAAGATTCGCGTCCACGTGACCATACACCCTTCCAAATCCCACCAGCCCTTAGGGCGTAGGCGTTCCAGGGAGCTTCCTCTTCAACCCCCCTTCTTCCCCTTCGGGGATGGGTTTATCACTGTTCCCTGTTGATAAGCGCACCCTCCCCTACCCGGCACCATCCTTGTCAAGAAACAATCCAAAACACACTCTGCCTCCGCATCGGAGCATCTGGGCGCTCTTGGGCTCGGTCGCGTAGATTTTCGAGAGGCCACAGGGCCCCAAGACGAGCCAAGATGGCCCCAAGAAGCGCCCACGAGGGCCCAAGAGATCTCCAAGACGGCCCAAGAGCGCTCCAAGACGCCCAAGATGGCCCCAAGACGGCCCAAGAGGCCTCCAAGAGGCTCCAAGAGCGCTCCAAGAGACCTTCCACGAGGGCTCCAAGAGACAGAAATGCTTGATTTGAGGCCGAGATAATGACGGGGAGGTCGGTCGCCTAGGAAACCAAGAAACGATACTTGCGCCTAAGTCTGGCCTCGGCCCAATTCCAGCCCCCAGCCTGGCGCCGTCAGAACGCCTGCCCAACGCCCACACCAACTCTCAGCCCCAGCTCGAGGCTCCAACCCAAGTAACCGCATTTGAACCCAACCCGCGCAGCTGGGGCTCAGAATTCGAAGGATGTCGCTTGCCTTGGCGGTGGTGTCCGATACCCGGGCGTCGACTGGACCAGTTGGGATAGGGTTCGCAAGTGGTCGTAGGAACCCAGGACCCGAAGCGGCCGCAAAGTGCCCCGCGCAACCATAGCCCAGCATCCACCAGAGCTGGTCGACACCGACGACCTAGGTCAACTAACTCCGCGCGGCACGAACCTCTCTGACCCAAACCGCGAAGCGCGGCCATCTGCTCGCGCGCTGGATGGGGCGGCCTGGTCCGCGCGAGGGCCTCGGAGGAGCCCAGCGCCCTTACACCCTCCGGATGGTGAGACCCGCCCAAATGGCCGGGCCCACGGCGTAGCCCACAAGCTGCACGGCCTCGGCCAGCCGGGCCCCATCGGATGGCGACGGGAGGTGCAGGGGGGAAGGGGCAGGCAAGAGGGAAGCGAGGGGCATGGGGTATGGCAGGGGGGAGGGAGGGGCGGGGAGGGGGGAGGGGATACGAAGGGGGCGTGGAGAGTGGGAGGATGGCGAGGAAGCTGGAAGAGGAGACGGGGCCGGGGAAGGGTGTCAAGAGTAAAACGATGGAGGGTGTAGGGGAAGGCACAGAGGAGCGCAGGGACAGGGATGATGAGAAGGACAGGACTGGGACGGGAATGCGAATGTTCGCGGATGAATGAAGAGACAACTCGGGAATAGGATGCTCGGGAAATCTCGGGGATAGGTTGCTCGAGGAATATATGATCGATGGAATGAGGAACCCCAGTAATAGGATCCTTGGGGACTAGTGGCGACGCTCGGGGACAGAAAATAAACACACAAATCTAGGAACGGTGTTTTATATGTGCTGCTGCCCAATCCCGTTGGTGTTGCTGCCCTTCGTCCTGATGATGCTCCTGCAGCTGATGTTGCTGCCACTGGTTGCACTGGCAGTATACTGTCCGCGCGCTGCTAACACGCTGCTAGAATGCTGTAGTACACGACTTCTGCTTCTACTGCTGCTGCTGCTGCCACAATCGTCGCACACAACTAGAATGAAACGCGTCCAGACGACAACGGTCAATTTTGATCAGACAAATAATCCAATGAACACAGCAGCGTGCTCAAGACAACGCTGCCGTCGATATTTTTTTTTCGCTTCCACCTACGTGCCGGTTGAGCCCGTACTGTGCCCAAGTGCTTGAAAGTCCTGCTATCGCCCACGAGTCTTCTAGACAATTCGGTCGAAGTCATCCCATCGCAAGACACGAGGCCTCCCAGATTCACAACGTGCCGTACTGTGTTGACAGCGCCTCCATCTGATTATGTTACCTTCCGGTTCGTTGATTTATACATATGCACCGTCGTGGGTCCCAAGTCGAATGCAAGCTATACTTGCAAACGTCTTCCATGATTGCATTCAACAAATTATGGGAGTCCGCCTAGTGCTAAGAGAAAAGCAATTGTGTCGTTGATGTACGGCACGTCCCTCGCAATCACATATCAAGGCTCTTGCTGAAAATGTAGCTAATCAGTCGCATCGTGCAACCTGACCGTTTAGACTCCTATGAAAAGATGCGAAGAGAGCGGACACATTTGTGCGATCCCAGCGCTCTGTCGTCTTTCCGTTGAAGTTCCACTATGGTCCGAACTAACCAAAAGAAACGACACTCAGATATGAACCACACCATCTCCATCATTTCGGGAGGAGGCCAAAATCTGCGCAGCGGTTTGCACATGGAAGCCAGATTGAGTATAGCAAAAAGGCTTCCCCCAGGCCCAATCTGGCATGAACACGACTCTTCAATAACCGTTGCTATCCTGTAAGATCAATCATGGACCTCACGAACATCTGGGCGTCCCGTGTGCTACGCCGAAGTCGGAAACCATAGTGTGTTTTACACATGCGTTTCTCTGAACCTCCGCGAATCAAGCGTTGATGAATCAACGACGCACATATGGCACATGTACATCCAATCGGCAACAAGGAAATAGGCCTGCCATTGTTATGGACGGGCTGCGTCTCCCGTTTGAAAAAAAAAAGAATACTACGTTACTACGTTGGCTCGTCTTCGAGATTACATGATTCAATTCCTGCTCCAACAGTGTTAACAAAGCCGTGGTAGCATACCACTTGCGTCTTTATAATAGTGTGCTGCGCTTGTTGCTGAGGGTGGCCTATCGAGTAGGCCGCGAGTCGGCGGCCAGGGAAAGCATGAAGCAGCCAACAACGGTCAGGCTGTTCGAAAACATTACTCCGACTGTAGGACCCTCCAAAACATGTGGTTAACTTGCCTGGGGATCTCCGCCTGCTCCCTCCTCCTACCTGGTCCTTTTCCTCCTGCCTCATCCTGTTCCTCCTGCCTACTGCCTGCTCCTCCTGCCTCCTTCTCCTCCTCCTCCGCGTGCCTCCTGCTCCTACTCCCCCTGCCTCCTCCGACCCATTCCTCCTCATCCTGCCTCCTGCCTCTTGCGTCCAGCTCCTCTTGGTTCCTCTGGCATCCTGCGTCCTGCCTCCTCCTCGTGGCACGCGCGGCGCACTTGGCAAACGTGGCGCGACAGGCGCCCATACTGGTTCCCACTGGCCGCCCATGGGATGGCTACCGCCGCCTGTGGTAAACCTCGGGTACTGCTAATGCGGTGTGAGGGCGGGGGGAGTGAGTGGAACAGCACGTGACAGTGGAAACTCGACCCCCAGGCTAACTCTACATATACGTCCATCCCCCCACCCTTTTGGAACATCCCCCCGAATGGCCCAGGCATCGGGCGTCGTGTTGTTTTTTTTTTCTGTTCTTTTTTTCACAACGTGGCTGCCAAAGGTCTGCGTCTCTTCGGGGGAACCATTTCCTCATCCCGAGTCGGATTTCAGATGGCCCAGGGGCCGGGGCCCAGTGAGGACCCCCAGCTGAAATGTCCACAACTAAGTTATGGCAGTTATGTTGCAGTTGTAGAAGTTCGGTTGAAGGTGGGGAAGATAGCTTGTCATGTCTTGTGCTTGGTGTTGGAAATTACCTACCCCTATCCTAAACCACTCCATCCCCTAACTTCCCCCTATCTCCAACCACTCTAATTCCTGAAAAGTTACCATTTACAAACGAATCGCGTTGCGTCTACAGTTTGTTTTTACGTTGTTTGCTCAGCCACGTTGTTTCTAGGTTGTTGCGTTATGTATGCCCCCATCGCATTATGTGCTGTTGTTTTTGTTTGCCCAGCGCTTTGCGATGCCAGCGCTTGCCAATCGCGCTGCGCTGCATGCGCTTCGCGCCCTTGTCAACCAAGCGCATTGCGCTCCAGTAAGTCATGCGCTTCGCACTTTCATGTGCTCAGTTCAATCAAGCGCTTTGCGCTCCAATATGAAAGCGCGTTGCGTTCCATTCTGGATTTCAAGCGCGTTGCGCTCCACTTCAATGAAGCGCGTAGCGCTCCAGTTGTGTTTCTCACGAATGCCCCCACGCATAAGCGCCATAGCGCTGTCCTCTTCTCCTCCTTCCTCTCCTCCTCCTACTCCTCCTCCTCCCCCCCCCTTTCCTCCTCCTCCCCCTCCTCCTCCACACCCCCGCGAGCGCATAGCGCTGTCCACTTTAGCGCAAAGCGCTGTCGCGCGCACTGCCACCGTTCTGGCTCGAGCGCGCCCGCGCTGGCGCGCGGCCCGCGCGGGGCTAGCGACTCGTCTTGGGCGGCGCCCGCGGCCCGCAGAGCCTGGCCGAAGGCCGCGGCGCCACGGGGGATCTGAACAAGGATCTGCGGGCCCGCCTTGGGGCGACAAGCTGCTTCTGCAGCGGGCCCCAGCGAGCGCGCGCGCCGCCGCTTCTGAGCACCAGGCGAACGCGTTCAGGTCGTCTGCGAGCTCAGCGACGGCCACCCTGAGTTCGACTGAGGCGTCAGACCTGCTGGCGTTCGCAGCGCAAGTGGGCTTCGCTGCAAGCGATGTGGCCGCAGTGGCCGAATCGCTGAATGCCGCGTTCAAAAAAGAGAAGCAGAAGGAGACGAAGAAACGAAGTCCGATGCATGATTTCAGGGCGGTTTTCGGCTACTTCACAGAGGCCGAGTGGGGCGCCATGTCGAACCAGCGGGGGCGGCCGCTAGAAGTCAGGGAGGTCCTCTTCAACCGCGTGGCGGCCTTGGGGGCGAGGGCGCCATCGAAGGATGCGAAGCGCATGCTGTCGGCGTGCTTGATCCTGCAGATAGAGGAAATGACAGCGCACACCAGCCAGGCGAAGAAAATCCAGACGTTTGGCGCACTCGAGAGCGCCCGAAAGCACGGGCGCGGAAATTGCAGAACCCCATCGAGATCATCGAGGCGCTGCCGCCGCCCCCATCGCAGCGCAAGGAGATGCACCCCGCGATCTTCACCCGAACCTGCGCCGACGGGGCGCTGCCAGTTTCGAGCAACATCGGTTCTGCGATGATCGAAGCTACGGCCGCCACATTCAATTCTAGAGGCAACGTGGCGACAGCACTTGACGCGCCAATGTTGCACTTGCCTGGCGGCGCCCTGGACCGCCAGCTGCGGCCCTTAATTCGGCTCCTAGTCCGCGCTCAGGGGGGGGGGGGGCAATCTGACAGGCAATTGCCCCGGCTCGTTCCCCCATGAGTCCCAGCGAAATCCGCTGCGCCGCCGCCTGGGTCAGGCGCTCGAGAACATCTGGTTTTCCGTGATGCTAGCAGCCCACAGTCATAGCCTTAAAATTGAATGGCAAATGAGCTCTCCCTACTCAGTTCCCGCAGCGTGCCTTGCCCTTGGACTTGGCCTCTGCTTTGGCCATGGCCTTGGCCTTGGCCTTGCGCTGGCTCTGCTGGCTCCTGGCTGGCTTGAGCATGATCTTGCCCTTGCCCTCGACCTGCTCGCTGCCCTGCTCCTCCTCGGGGTCGATCGCGGGGGCCCCTGCCCTCTCGAATGCCATGTCCCGCCGCTTTGCCGGCTCATTCTGTTCCTTGGGCGCCTTGCGCTTTGGCCCTGGTGCAGGTGGTTGCGTCCACTTCCACGTCTCCCCGACGTGGCCGTCGCGCGCGTTCCACTCGAGGGCGACCGACGCCCCTGGCCAACCATCGTCCGCGCAAGCCGTTTTCCAACGCTTGTGCTCGTAGAGTGTTTTCTGATAGGTGGCGCACTCCATCTTTTCGTCGGGGCCCGCGTCCTTGCTGGTCGGCGTCGGGGCGAGCGTCGGGGGGCAAGCGCCGGGTCGCTCGGTGCGTCTCCGGGCCTAGATGGCCACGGGCAATAAATGAGAGCGGCGGGGGGGGGGGCTCCAGGCCAATGCGCTTCTCTCTGATGGCGTGCATAAATATGAGGACATGACTATGATGCGACTGCTGCCCTCGCTGTTTCACAATCTGGTGGCGACTGCGCAGTGTCGCGGACAATCGTTTTCACTTGTGATGGTGGCCGCGCAACGTCG